GCATAAAAACATATAACAAGACTGGCAATGAAAACATACATTGCCATGGCGACGGTAGTTTCTGTTAGGATTATTGTTTGCATGGCACTGCCATCATTTCATGATTTTGAGGAAGACTTGGTACTTGGACTTTGGACTTTGGTTTAAGTCTAGACAGATACAGTACACTCCTCCCCTGAGTGCATGGTGAACGAGCCCCGGGGTCACAGAAAGTAGGACCATCTGGGGCAGGCAGGTCTTCAGGGTTCCAGAAATGTAGGCATAGATGTGGGTCAGAGAAATGCCTGTGGACATTCTGCATGCCTGTGGACATTCCGCATGCCTGTGGACAAAAATGCCTGTACAATTCCTAGAATTCTTATTATATCTATTTAGAAATAGTAGCAATGTCACCTGTAGAGCAGAATTAGGTAGATTTCCTTTAGATACACATATTTGTATATAGATAGTTAAATTCTGGTTATGCTTGGTCCAAATGGGCACAACCTCACACTCCCTTCAAATGGATGCTCTCCTCTTACAGCAAAGCCTTCCAACAAATACCCGAAGACGAACTTTATTGCAACGTGTTAAAGACATACCGGTATTAGATCACAATGGATACTCCTTTTTGTGGCATTCCGAATCAACATTGTGACCCTGAACATGTTGGGGAAATGCTGAGAAGGAGACTTACAGATATACACATGTCTTCTTCAGTTTACAAGAGAGAAGTCAAACCCTTCAGACATAGTTTTAGCCTCCGGGCATGAATTTGCAATAAACCTCACAATTATTATAAAAGGAGAGAAAGATATACAAGTACCTGTTCCAATGCAGCAGAGTTGAAGACTGTCGATGATATAAAGGGGAAAACGTTCTACACTAATTCAGAAAACTCAACAGCCTACTGCTTACTTCATGAACATCATGGGAGCCATATGAGCTAGATAATGCTGCATGGAAGTGGACAGGGATGTGAATCAGCATATGTGTCTGCTCAGTTGAGAATCTGTACAATTTCCACAATGTCCCAAGGGTTTCCTGGAATTTCACTATGTAGGAATGTGGGCATAGATGTGGGTCAGAGACATGCCTGTGGACATTCCATTCCTGTACAATTCCTAGAATTCATGGGCATGATTGTAGGTATGTGAGGAAAGCAGACTGATTGTGGGACTGGAAAGAAAGATCACCTTGGCTTGGTTTGAGACAGGCATCACGGGGAGGTACAGATTCGCGGCCTGAGTTCAGAGATTACAAGCCTGGTAACCAGTCTCAGCGGGTCAGCTTAGAGGTGTTTTCCGACCCCATCAGGGAAACACGGCGGTCTGTTTCACCAGTACAAGGGCTAGTTTTCAGTTTTGTGTGGTTGTCCAAATGGGGACCTTCCACGTGCTTCTTACGGCCTGGCAATCCTTAGAAGGTAATACAGCATCCAATGTATTTATGAATAAAAATAGCCCTATAGGACACCTGTGTCGATCGTAAAAAGTAAAAATCTTCCTCTGGTGTTGGAACTGTGGTAGATTTGTATGATTTTAATTTTAGGTCAAACTTAGGTCTGTTATAAAGGACTATTAAATGTACAGGAAATAATCTGCCATTGAAAATGATTACCCAATAGTTGTCCTATAACAAAATTGATCTAGTCGAAGGATTTGGTTATGCTTACCTAACGTTAACAACCTATCAAGTTGAACGTCAATATCTGATGTCCGCAAGAAATATTACATTAAACTACATATGAAACCTCACCTATCGAAAATGTACACAACCAATTCTGTAAAAATGTTCTTGGTGTATTTAGAAATAGTAAGCAATGTCGCGTGTAGAGCAGAATTAGGTAGACTTCCTTTAGATACAGATATTTGTATATACTAGTAGTTAAATTCTGGTAATGCTTGGTCCAAATGGACACAACCTCACACTCCCTTCAAACGGATTCTCCTCTTTGTGGCATTCTGATAACTCACATTGTGACCCTGAACATGTTGGGGAAATGCTGAGAAGGAGACTTACAGATATAACGTTACACGTGTCTTCTACAGTTATAAAAGAGAAGTCAAACCCTTCAGACATAGTTTCAGACTTAGACGTAGCTATAATTTTAGACAACTACCTTTCATTATGTGGATTTTAGTTATTTTATATACTGTTCTTCAATGTTCTTTTATGTTTGTAACTGGCAATTAACCTCCGGGCATGAATTTGCAATAAACTTCTCAATTATCATAATAGGAGAGAAAGATATAGTACCTGTTCAAATGCAGCAGAGTTGAAGACTGTTGATGATACGTAGGGGAAGACGTTCTACACTAATTCAGAAAACTCACTTACTGCTATATAGCTATATGAGCTAGATAATGCTGCATGGGAATGGACAGGGATGTAAATCAGCATGTGTCTGCTCAGTTGTGAATCTGTACAATTTCCACCATGTCCCAAGGGTTTCCTGGAATTTAACTACGTAGGAATGTGGGCATAGATGTGTGTCAGCAAAATCCCAGACATGCCTGTAGACATTCCATTCCTGTGGAAAAAAATGCCTGTGCAATTCCTAGAATTCTTGCAAACTGCACACAATACTGTACCATTAGGCTCCCCCCTGAGGCGTCGCCAAAAACAGTGCACAATATAACGTTACATGTTTATATGCAGCTTGTGACATTTGTAAAAATTATTAATAAATGGTTGGGCATGTATATAATTGATTATTGAAATAAAGCTAACAATCATTTCAGTATTGAATTAGGAAAAAGATGTCAAGGGGAATTTTTATTTCTGTTTCAGATCATCCTAGGCTTCACCGACTAAAATTGGTAAGTATCTGGCAAACCATGTCAAACTCTCTCCTGGCATCTTTAAAAAAATAGTAGGAAAATTTAAAGAAAAAGTTCAAGGACAAGGACAAAGTGGGAATGCACTCAGGTTATACAGTCACTTACTTTCATAACAGCCCCACTTGACACTTAACACTAAACAAGTACAACCAATACAGATATATAACTAAGAATAAATGTGAGAACAAAATTGTGCTAGTGTTGAAGTTTGAGGAAGACCCTAGCCCCTAAAATCTACCTCAAATAGCATTGCACCAGGTTTCTTGTAAGGTTGGAGAAATCTTTTTTGAAAGTAAACCAATACTTCTTGTGGATGCCTGTGATCTTTATGTAGAAATGTAAACAAGTTAAAGAAAAGGTTTGAATGTAAAAGTCAAAGTAATGTACTGATTATGACACATTCTACTGTGGTTGGACTTAAGGAAACTTTATTTTGGTTCACAAAAGTTCTAACACCAAACATAGTTTAATGTTATACTTTAGTTATTGTGATATTATAGAATCCCTTCATTTAGTATAATTGTATTCTGCAAGAGTTAACTCTCAAAAATATGATCAAGAGATCAAGAGTCTAGTTTTGCTTCTATGCTAAAAGATTTAAAGGATAGTATTAATTCTGGCACCTGGCCTTCCTTTTTATATATGAATACTATTATTCATCAAGAATCCTCCAAATTTATTCCATTTGATAAATACCAACCCCCAGCATGAAAGTGACCTGTTCCAAATTTCTAAAGAAACAAATCCTGTTGTTTGCAATTTTATTGATGTGTTAACTATGCAAAAGTATGAAATTTCTTTTTCTGATTTTGAAACTTTGGACATTTCTTTACAGCTCTAATTTTTAGGAGACTTTTCACGTCTTCCATAATTTTCTTTTTTGTCCCTGAGGGCCAGTGTAGTTAATATTCCTTTTCATATGATAAATTCTGCGTTGATTTATTCCTATAGCCAATCTGAAGATTTAATGCAACTCTGAAATTGCCTTGGTGAGAGTTATTTTAGTGATTCTCATAAACATTTATTTCTGGGGTTTTGGATAAACTGGCCATGGAAGAGTTTGCATAGCTTGACAAAAGGTTCTTTTACTGTAACTTTAATATGGTAGACAACATAAATAGTGGTAGCCCCCATGCAACTGTTACTGGAAGTCCCAGTGGGTGGATTGGGACTTCTATACAAGCTGTACAGTCCAAATCTAAATTACTTATTTCTTCTATGCCAAGTTCAACATTTCATTCTGAATATTTTAATTTACTCCATATTGATCTAACTTGGGAAATTCATGATGATTCTGATTCAGAAAGACTTTAAGAGGATCAGGATGTTAATTTCATAGATGACATTTACATTGGCAGCTTGTCTGCATTGAATAACATTTCAGATTCAGATTCTCTGTTGTTGATTAATGAGTGAATTGGGTTTAATTTGGTGTCATATCATTCTTAATGATTTTCTTATTCTTCCATCTTGCAGGTGAAAGCCATGCCCAACAGGATTGTCACCAGC